CAATGGAAACGTGTGTGAAAAGGCAAGTGGCAGGATATGAAACCATTGATCCCTTAATTGACTGAGCTGTGTTGCACGCTATAACTCAGGGTAGATTCAGAATTCAAAGTGATCCGTTACATGCTGGAGTCGTCACTGTTTAGCTCGCTAGTCTTGTAAGTTCGGTTACAACCCTTTTGCAGTGAACACTTGTGGGATCCAACGAAAATTTTGTCCTATGTGAAGTATTCTCTAACAGGATTCAGTGGTTTCTCCTTTAGTTTATGCCACTTCTAAGGTTGATGAAAACCATTTGATGTAAGCCTAGTGAGCCATACAGTGCGTAGCTGTGTGTTTGCTTTTATTGATATGAAGGAGCAGTGATGAATGTGATGCAGTAATCATGCATATATGGCATACGAACTCTGCTTGGTTGTCTCAGTTCTGAGAGGCAAACACACGATTGTATTCATCAAACTGCCTGGGACTTTAACATACAAAGGTGTCCCTCAACGTATTTATTCCTGGGACTTTTCAATATAAAATGCAGACAATAAAAAACATGGCTCACTCTGTGATAACACCTAGGATACTATGTGCTCTGAAAGTTTAAGATTCGTATCAGAGTGAATGATTTTGAAAACCAGTATAAAAATTATGAACTAGTCTGTGCCGTGGTTGTGATCGATCTTGTCCAGAAACTTTATGCCATTTCAGTCTTCCGTTCTTCTTGAGGAAACTACGCAGACGTTTTCTCGAAACTCCTCAACAACCCACGACCGGTTTCGTCCCACTTGGGGATCATCTGGTAGGCGCAGTCCTCCTATTTGTTTTCCTTTGCGTGCCAAGTGATGAGGAACAATTTTTCCTCATGGTAGGTTGACTAGGAGATACATAACAATCCGTGAGTTATTTTCTGTGAGTATTTGCGATATAGAAAAATTGCTAATATATTTGTCAGTAATATAAATTGAACGTTAATGTGCTTCTCAGTTTGCGTTGATTCACTGAGACTGATAAGACTAACGAGTTAAGGCTGATTATAAAACAGTTTACTAGCGTACATATCAGGCCTTGAATACTGCAGTGTCCATTGAGAGCTTACTTTACTGAAGATGTTGCCTCATAGACCTGGACCAATGGAAGTTCCCACCTTGAAAGCTATGTCCTGCTCACATTGGAAAATAATCACCGGGCATTAGGGTTCGTTGAAGCTGTCTCTGCTGAGAATGACAATACTTAAAATCTCAGCAATCCTACTCCATTTATGGTGCATGGTTATTGTGCACGACAAAGTCGGGCAACCGTTATTTATACTTAAATTAAAATTCTCCGGGTATTTTTGCGACCGAAGCTTACTATTACGGGGATCACTGCCCAGGATGGAACCCATCCGTCGCGAACCGGCTGTCTTCTGCTTTACTGAATTTTACCCGCTAAACCCTCAGTGAAGAGTGATGTATTTAAAACACTTGCTTTGCACCGCCATCATTCACGGTACCACTATGAGCGTCGTCATCGTCGACGCCACTATCCTCAATGGTAGCGACATCAACGTGAAAAACAGTGCTTTACAACAACATTATGGTGCCTGGATAGACGTGTCTTCATAGCTTTATAACCTCAAGGCCCACGATCCGAATAGAAGAGGCAGTGAAGCTTGCTTACGCTTTCAGGCTGAATGCACATTTGCATTTGTTCTTGATGTCCCGGGCTTAGTGTGGATTGTTAAGTCAATCCAGCAAGGTTGATCCGCGTGATCTGCGGTCGGGCACAGACTAAATTAGGGACTTTCCTCTGGCGAACACCAAGAAGTTAAAGAGTCTTTTCTCTGCACCATTGACGGGAACCCTGGCTCACACACCCGAATTCGCAACAATAGTTAGGCGTGACCATCCTTCTAAATGCTTAAAAGAAATCTCATATCGTAGTCTATTTTACGACAGTCGTTGTTCATTGCACAAGTGTGTTCTCACGTGCATGATACGTCAAAACAAACAGGTTGGCTTGGTAACAATAGGCGCTATCACTTTGACCTGGAAAAGCTTTCTTACCGAGTGAATGTTTAGATCGCTGTTTCCCTACTTTATTTTCCTTTCCCCACAGATATTTGTCGCAGATTTGTCACACGTCGTACGTCTTTCAAGGGGAATCGACGGGAGAGAAATACTGGTAGGAGGCAACGATTCGATTCGGTAAGGATTTCTCAAAATCAATCTGCAAGAGCGGATGTCCAACTGTAGACCGATCTATACAAACCTTACGCACTATGAATGGTTTTCGTCACTCATGATTTCTAGAGGTCGTCAGTCTGGTCCGTCGATAAATGATTGCACAAACTGCGTGTCTCAATACGACTTTTGTGGGCTGTAGTTGATTCCATCGGTTGTAGTTATTCCAGCGGTCAATCCAAGCATAGGGTAATAGAATGGAAAATACAGTCTTCCAAGTCTATGACAGACTTAGGTGTGGTCTGTGAGATTCATTTGGCTACCACTTTGTTGACAGGTCTGGACCGTCCGGAACCTTGTAGATGATTTCGAAGATAGAGCTCATACCTAGTTAGTGAGCAGTTACAACCAAGTGAGACATAATTGTGCTCGAATTATTGCCTGAAGTTATCCTTCAAGCAGGATGTGCTTCTAAATTTCCTCCGTCGGATGTTTGATTGCCAGACTGACACCAGCCATATCTTAGGACGCCGAATTTGGAGCTCCCTTCTAACAGCCCTCATACGAAGTTGGTTTCATTAAAAAACCATGATTCCCCTCAAGCTCAAAGACAAGCTCACCATGTGAGTTAAATCCATGCGTTCACGGTTTCTCAAGTACTGCTCCGCTGCAATATATATTTTAGGCCGACCCTTATGTAAAACCGATGATCCAACCGACCTCGAATTTCAACCATAGAAAAAATTACAAAAACCTTAAGTTCTCAGCATTCATTCTAATCTAACCTAGTGTGGTAATGGAATGAAATGATATTCAACAAAGACGTAACGAGAAATGTGAATTGGACCACCTCGAATACCACTATCCCCCCGAAAATGGACGCTGTTCTAAATATCAGTTGTCACACTTATCGCAGCCAGTGTGCTTTTGAAAAATTCAGGAAAATTCGGAAAGCTTGATTAGGCAGTGAAATGAGTAAACAATGAAGCACTCAAATTTGGAAATGTTTTCCACATGAAAATTGGGGAGCATGTTGTTGGTTTTCCGCTCAGGATCCACGGAAAGATGTGAGCTGCAGAGTATATTACAGTTTTACACGTCATGTAGTGTTTGAGTTAACTCTTTCAGATATATGGAGCAGTTCGATAGCATTTGAGCCTACTGAAACTTGTTTAGCATTCGAAAATTTTTCCATCAGTAATAACATGGGTGCACTTGAACCTTATCTGGTGGTCAAAGGAAGCAGAATAAAAGTTTACGTCTGAAAAACCTCTCAGCTTCATGGGGATTGTTTGCGACACCGACAGTGAACTAAGTCATAGATAATGGGATTTGCGTAAATTTCAAGTGAGGGATAAACAAAAAAAGGCTTACTGTAGACTGGGAATGGCGGTTCACTATTTATCGTTTATGTGAGATGACTTAGTTCATCAGTTGTAGCCATCTGACCTTCAGAATGCAACGACGGTATGATTACCAACTGGAATGTGAGTTTGAGGTTGGTTGAATACTACCACAACAAGTGTACGCACTTGTGGGCAATGGTCTTTGTTTGTCACCATTAAGGTCCCATAGTTAATGGGATTAGGTAGTATCTGACTTCTGGCCAAAAACTTTACTTACAAAGTTCCAATTTTGATACTTCTCCATCTACAACATTCCATGCTTCAAAACCCAGAAAAAAGAACATAAATTCCACATTCCACTTTACTGAACCGCTTAGTTCGCGTTGGAATTTCACAGAACTTGGGCTGAACTTTTGGTTTCTTCTACCGTGCAACGATAATGGACAACAATTAATGTTAGTTATCCAAATCCTCGTTGTTGCGGTCAGGATAACGACCAGGATACGGAATGAATGTGTTTAGCGCGACCGCATATCATGCACGAGCTGTCCACTTCTACGCAACACAAGTGTAGCCACTTTTTAAGGAGAAGTAGATGCTGTAAATCTCAGCTGTAAACCGCTGGTATGTTCAGCGTCAGTCTTGAAACATTTCCATCTTCTGTCTGTATTGTGTTGTCTTCCTCACCCATCCGTTGGTTTCTAATAAGCCTAACATGGGTGTTGCAACCATATTTTTTTACTCCAAACGTCAGGTTGAAAGTAAGCTTCACCGTCGCTATACTATAGGTTCCTGTGCAAAACAGTTAACCTATCAGTTGTAGCTCATTTTAGTAAGACAGTCAACAAAATAATAAAACTAAGGTCTGGCTTGTTTCCACATTCCCCATTTAGACTGCTTTCCTGTTGCCTGGATTAACCCGGTTAATCTACACCAACTATGGAAGCACCAGGCTCAAACAGCACTCATTAAACTTCATCAATAATCTAAATCCTGTGCGTTGCAAGACCATACACTTATCCAGAAGATGTAACTCTGGTGCGTTCAGCATGCTCTGCTCTGGCACCAGTAACATGTTCGCCTCACAGACCATACGCCAAGTGCATTCACTGCTAATTAACACTTGACACAACGAAATCCCCCTGCTTGGTGTATTCTAGACATGATAACTTCGTCAGGGCAGCAGAAAAGCTTCTCGAATCTCTTCTTCATAAATGTGAATGAGTAAAATGTTGTGGGTGAACGAGTTATATCCAGCCGAAGTTTAAGTTTAGATATCAGTGAACCCTACAAGATGCAGAGTTGCATCCATCAGCTGTGATGCAGACGGTGTCCGGTAACGGTGAAAGCAAAAGTTAATTCGATTGAACGACCAGGTAGTCAGTACTCTATAAGACATCACCGGTAATATTAGGGTTTAGGCTTACTATCACGTATCTCTTGACAAGGTCTCCGCTTGAATTCTGTTGTTTATCAAAGGACAATTGAAGCAACAGAAACATACCCTTGCATGAATGGGTTGAGAGAGTCGATTTGATGTGTCTGAGCCCTCTATTTGTCGTTTTTCTTGCTTCTGGGCTGGCTTTTTCGGATTAATAGTTTGCATTTCAAGTTTTCCACTGGTGAATACCTCGTTGACTGGAACCTTTACGCTCTTCGAGGGCGCAGTTTTGGGGAGAGTTCTGTTGGTCCTCAAAGATGAAAAAATAAACTTGGAGTAATGATTTATTTATGAATAAAACTGAGCTCTTATATGCTCGAGAATGGCATGGTACACCAATAAACCGTTCTTCGGGAAAACTTGCAAAATTTATTAAAGGTGGCTGTCGAGAAATCTGATCATTAATTGCCAAAGGAAAAAGAAAACTTGTAACTACCCTCAATCTTGTAGAAACTTCAGCCTTCTATCTTCGCACGTAGAGATAAGTATCTAGGATTCCTGAGTACACTACCAGATTCCGAAATTCCCACGCCTATTCATCCCCGTTGCAAAAGTACGGTAGCACATATCAAATAAAATGCAATTGTTCATCATACGAACACAACAATAGTGTTTTGCATCTTTTTCAGTTATAACCATAAGTTCCGCTGAGATTATTCATATCAGCAGCATAAAATTTAAATTATCCTCGGAAATTAAAGTCAGTAATGACTGCTAAAGTAGAGTTAGTGAAATGTCAAAAACATCTCCCCATATCCCCTTTCAAACATTACATATTCCTGATGTTATGGGCATGATTATAAACAACGCAAGACGTATGAGTGGAAGTTTACATGTGAAGATTGTAAAGTTATTACTCTCAAAACGAAGTAACAGAGTGAATTGCATTCGGTGCCCCGCAGTAGATTTAATGTAATCTGTAAGTCCTGAATAAACCTAAAAATTCCTTTGACAGTCTCATTCACTCGCTTACTTGAGCTGAGTGAGAATGCAGAGCGAAGGCGAAAGTCATTTGAGCATGAGTACGCGATTCCGATCCATTTCTTATTTCTAGACTATTCGTATTTACCATCGGGGTATGTTTTGATCACTTCGCTGAGGAGTTTTCTTCTTACTAATTGCATTAGGAGGACTCCATTGTCTGCCTATTTATTTTCTGTCTATTTTTGTACTATAATCATTGAGAGCATAACATCAGTGTTCAGTACTAATGCATCGTTGCCGTACAACTACGATTTACTTGAAAACTTTATTTTGAATAAAAGAGTGAAAGTGGGTGGGAGGAGGCTAAATGCTAGTCTACCACAATCATCCCGAGTTGCTTACACCTCCAAACACTCGTTCAAGCAATTTGGAAAGTGACAACGGACACCGATTGGAGCATCTCCAACCATGTACAAGGGGGAATCACACGATGCCATCCTGGAAGGTGAGTTGCACATACAGTACGCAGACCTTTCTTACCGTGTTCACACCCCCCACTATGTCAAAAGACGAAAACCGGTCCGCTTGCACCACTGTGAATTAGGCAAAGCAAAGATAGTTTCTAACACCAAACATCTCTGTGCATCGTCTATGGCGTAACTGCATCTCAGTAACCCGATTTTCCAAATGGTTTTGTATGAAAAAATCAAGTAAGTGACTAGTATCCGGTATCACTAAGTGACAATCACTAAATAAAAGACATTTGTGTCGAATACAGTACCTTTGGACACCACCAAATCAGTGTTGGCAGAAATTGAGCTGGACAAAAGACTAAGCTTCCCTTATTCCAGGTTTAACCGGTGAAAGTTGGTGCACCTGTGTTGAGTCGTATTTCCGCCATCCCGACGTGGTTACCAGGTAAGGTGAATCAAGCTCAAAACCTGAATTTACCTGAACATGTAACGTAGGTCAGATGACCTATACAAAGCGCACATCATTAAGTATATACTGAACAATGGACAGCGGTTCTGCTTTGGTGTCTATCGATTTATCTGACGGAAAGTTGGCGGCCAAAAAATACATGAAAATTCTTGTCAGTAGTCAGTCAGTATAATCCGACTGGTAAAGATCCAGCGATCCCCCAAGCAAATGATGGCCACAAGTCTGTGGCAGATCAGGATGATTTTAATTACAGGACAACATTAAATTTCATAATATCGCAGCACTAAAACACTGCTGCTTTTCACACACCATGTTAACCAGTTTCCTTTGAATTCTCAATTTTCCTTGACGAAAAATTTCGAAACGTTCAACTTCCTCCATAAAATCTAATGAAATTTTTTCATAGATGAACGAGCTTGACACTTCTGACTATCCTATTCCACCATCTCTCAAAAACGGCAAATTTTGGCTACAAATTAGTCCTGGTTTTGAGACAAGGCTGATAAATAATGTGAACTATGCTCATTTTATTCAGCCTATAATTGCATCGAGTTCAGGGATACGAGAAAGCGTATATAAAGCAAAATCGTGACCAACAAAGCCACAGCTAACTATCAAATTCATTCACATGGATCTGATTTTCCAACTATATATATATATATATATATATATAACCGAAATTCAAAAAAGAGCGACGCAGGGTCGGGGTCAAGCAGAATCAGTTTTGGAACTTCAGAAAGAGTTTTTATGAGATAATTCATTATGCTATTATCTCAGGATAAAAAAGCAAACTAAATAATGCTTGAAACGTACCATGTTGTTAGCTTGACAACACACACTGAATTAAAAAACATGTCAACATACTTTTTGTCGACCTCCGCCAGTTTATCAAAGTGAGCTGTTCGAATTTTTTTGAAAAAATATGAGTCGACTCACAACAAATCCTATACGTATGCGGATCAGTGCATTGATGTAAACTTCTGAACAGAACCGAAGAGCTCTAGTCCCGCCTTACATGCAAGAGGGGCTTGCTAAGTAGCATATACCGAAGAAAACAAGTTGAGTTGTCTAATATTGCTAAATCCCGATGAATCGCGTATGTCTGGCAGTGTCCACCAAATTCCACTGAAATGACTAGCTGAATTCCAAGCAAGTCCACTAGCAATACAGCTTACAGTCTTTCTTAAACAGGGACAACACTAAGTCAAATAATGAAACCTGGAAAGAGCACATTTCGGGAAGCTATCGATCAGTTACTTCAACGTTTCTGGTTTGAAAATTATGAATGGAACCATACCTGGTTGTGAGCGACAACAGCTGTCTTTACACGCGTATTCAACGTGTTCCACAATAGTCATTCCTGTCAAATCAACCCCAGGATGACCAGAGGATGAAGAGTTTGACCAAAGCCTCTGGAGACGCTCCGAACAAAATTTTTGACCCCAACAAGAATTTTAATAGACTTCCGCACGAAACGTTGTTACAAAGACTGGGGACTTACATGGCTAGAGTTGTCACTTTGTTGAATCTCAAGTTTTTCAGTGAGTAGCACTTTCACGGCAGAGCCAAAGAAGGCACGTCAGCAAACTAGGTTGTTCACGGAGACGTTCGGCAAGAATCAGTCGTAAACCCTGAACAAAATTTTATCTACCTTAATGATCTGCTCCTAAACATCCGGCCTTATTTTTGAAATACGCAGATAATGTCGTACTGTGGAGGATTATTGACAAAAGTGATAACCGAGATTAGCGAAATACACCCCTTTGCAAACTAATTTGGTTTTTCGAGAGACTCACCCGGAACCCATCTGCACCTCCCGTTTGCGATGTTTCCCACCTGATGAGCCCCAAGAAGGGTGGAACCGTCGTGGGCTGTCAACGAATTTTCAGCAACCCTATGCGTAGTGCATTACAAATGATAACCGGGATCTTCCAAAGCAAGACCTGAACCGTGCGACGGTGGGATAGAAAGCAAGGCTCATCCCAAAATGTAAAAAAGTGCATGTATCCGCAGAGCTGTGGAAGGCTGACATTAAAGCCCTGCATATCGAGGCGACGGTGTGTTTAGTACGTCGAAAACTGAAAGAGATCCTGTGGTTGTGGTAATCAGCGTTGTCAAGGTAACAGTCCCAAAAGTCGAGCCTGCGCTTTGACCAGGGGTGTCTCATGAAGCTTACATCAGAAGCGTTTACGATACTCTAGGACGCCAAACACACTCGTATCTAGTGGACCAGCAGCACAGCCCGGTGAATCAGGATAGCTAATGAAGATAGAATAAGGAACAAATAGCTGCAAAAACACAGGCAACTAAGTAAAAGATGAGGATTACGAAGAAATGTCATGGTTCACGCATCTATCCATTATCATGAGTGGCGAGATGCCTTAAGTGGTAAGAGGGCGAATTTACTGACCGGACGGTCCGTGATTCGAATCCGACCTCCGCCTCTCGACTTTCCCTGTCTAGGCTTGGGCAACCTGGCAGTATCCCAGCCCTCGTGCTTCCTTCGGGTGGCATGGCAGCTGGGCACCGAAAGGGTGCTACAGCTGAACGCCTTTTTTACCATTATCATGATGGCAGCACTGACACCTAGTTTTACGGCCGCACAGCATTGGAATTTATTTAATTATGAGTAAGACTTCAAGTGAGAAGATGAGAAAACAGCAGGTGAGGGAACAGCCTGGTGCTGGCCCATTGCTAGAATTGTGATATGCCTACGGGCACTAGCGCTCAATCAGACAAACCGGAAACCAACAGGTAGCACGAATAGCACTGACATCGACTAGCCGTCATTTCTTGTAGTCTTGTAACGGTGATACTACTGATGGGGGGTCACGCGCGTAGTATGTGTTGTTCGTGGAAAAGTTGCTTTGCGTCTTTTGAAAAGGGGAGATCTGTTGCGGAATTTGTGGAATCGCTTTGTAACATTTACTTGGATTTGAGCGATGAATGATTGGAGTCAATGAATATCCAGGAAAGTTCAATAAGACGCGTTCAGGAGATGGATGTCCAGTTTCTGTAAATAAGATGCAAATGAGAGTCTTGCTTCCCTGTTTAACGGTCAGTTGGCATTTCCTGATAAATAACTCCGCAGCGAAGGACTCCTTCCTTTCATGTGGTGCGGTTGCCAGGATAAGGATGAAGATCCCGTGGCCGCAACCCTTTGAGAATGGGGATGTTCGGACCCTCCTGGAGGACTTTGAGGTTGCGGGGGCTGCCGGCCTGGAGACCAACGGGGTAAATTGGCAGCGCTGAGGACCTTTCTCAGGGGCCGGGCGAAGGCGGCCTTGGACGCGGCCAGAAGAGGCCCTCGGAAGATGGACTGGGCCGCCGCGAAGGAAGTCCTTGCAGTGAAGTTCGAAACGCCGGCCGACCGCCAGGAGGCTG